TCATAGGTACTTAAAGTGTGTTCCCCTGCGTAATAAATATGCAACTTAAAATCCCTTCTTTATTTCTTGAAATCAATCCTAAGCAAATATTATTGTATGCTAACAAGCTCCTTTAATTGGAAGACTAAAGTCAGGGTTCTCTTCTGCCCTGACTTCAGATGCTCTTAAATTCTTCCGATTAACAACTTTGGTTTTGGTCACCATGGATAATTGCCCGTCATCTGACTAGTAGTTTTCTCTATAGAATTAAGAATACTGGCTTTGGAGTCAGACAAATCTGGGCAGGAATCTGAGCTTTAATGTTTAAAATATGAGTGAACTTGGGAAAGTTACTTAACTTCTCTCAGACTCATTTTACTCATTTGTAAAATAGGATTCAGTTCCATAGAGCTGCTTTGAGTGCTCAGTAAGATAGTTCATACATAGCCCCTGGTACACAGTAAACATTACATGAGGTTTTTGGCTTTGGCTATTTATATGTATTTTTTTTATTGTACTTTAGGTTCTGGGGTAGTGTGCAGATCATGCAGGATTGTTGCATATGTACATATGTGGCAATGTGGTTTGCTGCCTCCATCCTCCCATCACCTATATCTGGCATTTTTCCCTGTGTTATGCCTCCCTACCTCCCCATCCCCGTGCTGTCCCTCCCCTGGTCCCCTGCAACAGACCCCAGTGTGTGATGCTTCCCATGTGTTCTCATTGTTCAACACCCACCTATGTGTGAGAACATGCGGTGTTTGATTTTCTGTTCTTGTGTCAGTTTGCTGAGAATGATGATTTCCAGATTCACCCATGTCCCTACAAAGGACACGAACTCTATTCCATGGTGTATATGTGCCACATTTTCCTTGTCCAGCCTATCATTGATGGGCATTTGGGTTGATTCCAGGTCTTTGCTGTTGTAAACAGTGCCGCAATGAATATACGTGTGCATATGTCTTTATAATAGAATGATTTGTAATCCTTTGGGTATATACCCAGTAATGGGATTGCTGGATCAAATGGAATTTCTATTTCTAGGTCCTTGAGGAATCACCACACTGTCTTCCACAATAGTTGAACTAATTTACACTCTCACCTACAGTGTAAAATTGTATGATCACATGGTGACAATCATGTTGCTATCAGAGGTGGTCAGTGGCTTAAAAGTGGTTTCAAATGCAAGGAAATAGATAATTCCCACTGGAATTATTTGTGTTTGAAAACTGCCTATCTTCCCATGGTTTCTCATCTCCTGGAAGGCCAATCCCGGTTTCTCACATGGGGGCCGAACGGTTCTCTAACAAGCAGTAAGAGAGGGCCAGTCTCAAAGCACAAGCGCTTTTCGGGCCTCTGCTCCATCACATTTGCTAATGTCCCCTTGGCCAAAGCAAGTCATGTGGCCAAGCCCAGGTTCAGGGAGAAGAGAAATGGACTCTACCTCGAGATGCAGGTAGGCCACATAACATGGCCATTTTCTTTTTCATTCTACCATAAATACTAAGCAATAAGTAGATCCTGTGATCTTGAGAAAAAATATCTTCTTTATATTAAAATTAAAGCTACATTTAGATAAGCAGTTAATCATTTCTAAGCCCTGAGAAGTGGCTTACATAGGTATTCTTATTCCTATTTATAGCTGAAAATGACTGACATTTGGAGAGTTTAAATGCTGTGGCTGAGGTTAACACAAGGAATATGACTGAAATTTGAAGTCTTCTGATTTAAGTAATGCTTATTCCTAGAGCACCAGACTTGGCTTATTGAAGTTACTCTTTTAAATGTGTGACAATTTGGTACCACGACTTTATTTTTCATTGTTGCCCAGTTTATCAGAGAGCTTGATCCTTCTGCTTAATACTTAAGATTTAGAAATAGTACATTTACAAAATAGAGGATATTCCTCCCTTATAACTTTTTAGTTTAATTCTAGCCTCCATTGCTCTCTTTGACTCTTTGGAAAGCATTGTAACTCATCTCTCTTGATGGGCCATATTGTGAGAGGCTGAACTCTTTACGGCATGGTTAAATGAGTTCTTCTCACTAGTAAGGGCCTTCCTTTCTATTTCACTGAATAACTTACTGCCATCTGTGCCCTAGAGTAAAAATCTGGATAAACAGTAGCCCTGAAGGCCTGCTAAATTGTATGCTCACTTAAAAGGTTGTGTGAGATCAAGATCAAGGATTTATATTTCAGAACTACCTAACCATGACCCACAGTGGTTCCATAATTGTGTTTGGAAACAGTGCAATTTAAACCTAAAATTCAAGTGACTTACATTTTTACCCTCTACCCATTTAGTCATTTATTTTTTGCTTCCTTGGATTAGTAATAACATTTACTTTGTAGTGTACTTTATAACTCACATGCATTAATTACCACAAAATGCTGGGACTTATAATATCTTTATCTCATTATAAATGAGAAAACTTGAGCTCCAAAAATATAGGTGACTTTTTTGAGATCCTGCAGCCAGAAGGGAATGGTGCCCAAACTCAACATGTACCCCATCAGCCCACCCTCATCTTTCTGATCCTGTACTCAATGCGTATGCTTTCCTTATGGTCATATTGCCTCAGTTTACCTTTGCAAAATGATGGAGAAGGTACTGACTTTATTCTGAACTCCAGTACTATTTATTTTGGATTTAATTACCTAGTGGCTTCTGCTTTTATTTAATCTGTTTTATGAGTTCTTATTTCGTAATGACATGGTGAGCTTTTTATAGGCAGTGCCCCCCTCCCCTGTCTTTCCCACATCATGCACTATCCTGCTAAGAACCAGGAGGCCAGCAGTAAATACTTGTAGAAGCAGCCTGATTTCTCACTAAGAATGACTGACACTAAGACTGACAGGTTGTGGTTGGAAAGTGATCCGTGTCTTTTATTACCTCACATAGTTGCCTTTTTAATGGAAGCAGCTGTCGATGCTGTGCTGCCCACAGAAACCCTCAGGTCACTTTTCCCCCTTTCTGTTGAGACTTCCCCAAAGTATATGCACTCACATCCTACATTCATCCACAGTTATTTGGCCCCACACAGCAAGTTTAATAGCTAATATGCACCATAGTAAGACATTGGAGGTGCGCTGTAAGGACCCTTCAACAAGTTGAAGGCCCCTGAAGGTCATTCGCTCCATGACCTGCAGTGAAGGCATGGGGAGTTTCTGATGGCTGCGGAGAAGAACAGGTCAGCAGCGTGCCTTCCCCATCTCACTCCTTGACTCCCTTCCCCGCTGTTCCGGCCACGTGTGTCTCCTTAGCCCAGCATCCCAAGCATAGCTTCTATTCTGAGATTACCGAGTCTTCAGCTTAGTTAAGCCATGTGATATGTAACATGCCTTACTTTCCAAGGTTTGCAAATCCCCTTTGTTTTTCCTAAAGCTTATTTTAGTAAATAAGCATGGTCAGCAAATGCCAGCACTTCACTCTTCTCCTCACCCTGTTCTTACCTATTCCATCTAATATTCAACATCACTAATGCTGCTCTAGGCATTGGGGTCTTTGCAGGTATTCATTCTTTTAGTTGCATTTATTCACAGACACTTTGCTTGGTGGTAGGCATGTTATAGAGAACAAAGCAGGCAGGATTCCTGAGTTTACAGTTCTTACGGACTGATAAGGAGAAGATACCTTAATCAAATGATAAATGTGGGTGGCTATTATGACAGGTGCTACGAGGGAAAAGATACATGATGATTCACGGGGCTAGAACCAAACTGGGCAGATCAGGGAGCTTTGCTGGGGAAGGAACTATAGAACTGAGGTCTGAAGATCTGAAGAGGAGAGCTTACAATATATGGAGAAGAGAGTCAAATAATGGGGTAATCATGGGACATACCTCCATACGGACGTCAACAAATACAGCAGGTATGTGAAGGAGTGTAGGGGCTGTGACCAGATGCAGTGGGGGGACTTGACATTGCCTTAGAAAATTAAGGAAGAGATCCCTGGTGAATGTCGATTAAACTCAATTAGAAATGGTGAGTAGAAACTATGTAAAGAAGAGGCGGGGAAAGAAGACAGCACACGAGAGACTGCATGAAGTCCCAGTAACACTGGAAGGAGGCAGTGCAGCTGGAGGGGAGGAAGGACACGGGACACCGAGGGTGGTATTTCAGGTCATAGTAATATCACATCTTACACCCAGGGATAGTCATAGCTTACTGCTGCATCTAAAAAATTATCCTGGGGTATAAACTTCTTCCCCCAACCTCAACAATAAAGCAGTCTTCTGCAGTCCAACCAATGTGTACGCATCAAGAAAATGAAATGATGGGAGGTCACACCATCTCCACCAGCACTGCAAGGACCTCTGAAAAGGGTCCAGGTTGGTAGACGCCACGTCAAAATTCACAGTGAATGAAACCTGAATATTAAGAAACTAACTCTGTAAGAGAGTTGCCTCTTTTTACATCCTCAGCACCACCAGGTTGCCCCCTTTCTTTCTACGCTGAGTTTCCTGAAGGTGAGGTGGGTACTCCTGCTTTGTGAACTTCCTTGGATCTAGAGAACTTACCTTTGCCCCTTTCCCATCTGACTTTCATCGTCTTCAGTCAGGTACTTCAATGAAAGGAGGCTTCAAAGAAAATGAACCTAACAAGATTGAATTCTGAGAGCCCATGGTTTTAATATTTTTCACTTTCCTCAACCTTTTTTATACCAGGTAGAATCAGTAATACACACCTGATGAATGTAGTTCCCAGAGGCCTACAGTGAATTTCATCTCGGTAGTCTTTCTACAGTGATCTCTTCTAGGTGAAGAGATGAGGGGTTGTCTGGGGCGTTTTTGTTTTGTTTTCCAACAGATTGTGCTATGCCTCTTTGTTGTGCAAACAGAAGACTCTCTTGGACAGTCAATATGTTATCTTTTAGAATTGTTCTTTGCATTCATATGTAATAATTATGCTCATTTGTTTACTAAGGAAGAAGAAAAAGAATTTAGATGGTGTTGAAGAACAGAATCTTACAAACAACAGTGGATTTTCATGACATAATTTTTATATTGTTCTCATACAGGATGAAGAGGAAGAAATCAAACAAGAAATTAACATGTTGAAGAAATATTCTCATCACCGGAATATTGCTACATACTATGGTGCTTTTATCAAAAAGAACCCACCAGGCATGGATGACCAACTTTGGGTATGTAGTGCTGTCCATACTGGCTTTATATACATGAAGAACAAGCAGGGCCAAATGATTCATTTTTCTATCCTCAGGACTAAATTTGATTAACTCCTTTAGCCCTTAGCCACCATAATGTCCATAACATAATGTTTTCAGGGTTTTCTCCCATTTCCTTAAATATCTGTCTTTTCAGTATCTCTACATATTCCTTCTATCCCTTAATCTGGATCATCCCCAAAGCCAATTGTTAAGTTCTCTGTTTTGTTTTCTTTTTCCCACTAATTGACAAAAATAAAAACACAATAAAATTGTAAAATAAACATAATTTAATTGTGTTTTTATTTTAGGCAACATGCTATTTACATTTTATGAACTATATCATTTATTTTGCTTCTTTGAGTTAGGTATTATTATTTTCCTAATTTCTTGAATGTTGAAACTAAGATTCAGAGAAAAATGAGTAAACTGTTTCAACGTCAACATCGCTATCAGTGATGGAGCTAGGATCTAACCAAGCTCTGTGAGATTCCTTGTCTATCACTATCGTGTGGGTGACTCTGAAACATAAACTTGAACTCGTTAAGTAGAATCTCTAATACAGTGTCTGGTACCAAGCAGGGACTCCGCAAAGGCTGTTCTCCTTTCATGTTTCCCCAGTCTACTTAGCTATGTGCCCCAGTCCTTTATCTTTGGCAGTCGAAGAGGCAGCTCTCATTGGCTGTCCCACCAATGAGTTTACTGTGTTTGATACCAAACCCTGCCGCTGCTCTGCCTAGTCCAGATTGCTTTTTTCTCACCTTGCTGGTTTCTGTCCTTGGAACTTTTATTCACTTAGTCCTTCAGCAAGATTATAATGCTGTGTTGGTTTGGCCTTCCCTTGCCAATTTTATAATTACCTCCCTAGTACAGGCCCATTCGGCGGAAGCCTGGACTTTACAATGGCCCCCTACTTGTTGATCTACTTCTCTTTCAAGCGTTCTCCTTCCCTCTGCCCTCCAGCCTTCTGTCCCTCCTTCCCCTCTTCCTCTCTTTCAATTTCTGTTCATCCCACCTGTTGTTGTTATATTAATGCTTCTAAAAATACCTTTTTAACCACTTACCGTCTTGCTCATTTTCCAGAGGTTTTGTATGTGCCTAACAAAAAAATTTTACCGCATTAGCAAGAGCCTACTGTATGCCACGTACTGTGCTGAACTGTGTAGATCTAGTAATAGCTATTTCATGGAGAATTCCCAAAGTACTCAGTGTTGGATAGAAGTAACTCTTTTAATGCATCAGACATTTCCAATCCAGTGGAGAAGACAGAATATAGACACCAAATGCAGTCATGCAATCAGTGACCAAAAAGGATATAAAATTGTTAGCTTATAAAACAAGATTTTTGTGTCATTTAATATGAATAATCAATCTTTGGAAAGAACTGTTGGGATTTTTTTTCTCCATAAGACTCATCTCCAAATGTAAAAAAAAAAAATAATTTGATGGTAAACACATTTTATATAGTTTGTGTGATTCTGAAAAAGTTACAGTAAGGTTTTAATTGTGGCCTCTAAATGTATAATACATGTAAATATGAAGATTAAACATATAAAAGTAGTGAGAGAAAATAAATATGACTATATAATCCTAAAGAGAGATATATGACAACAAAAGATTACATCATAAAATAGAATTTTGATATAAAATAGAATTTTGATGAACTTGGCTATATACATTTTTTTAATGTCTTAACTAAAAAGTAAAAATGCAAATAACTGTGTAAAAATATTCATTTATATATAATGTGCAAAGAAATTTCATAACCTTCAGAGATGAAGCATTTTTATAAATCAATAGGAAAAACTTGAAATTACTAATAGGAAGGTTGAGTTAAGGAAAAGGTTACAACCGAAAAAGTAAGAAATACCAATTATCAATAAAGATATTTTTAAAAGGTTATTCTTACTAACAGTATAAATCCACAAGAAAACAATAGATACCATTTCTTGCCTAGCAGATTGGCAAAGACTTCTTTTTTTTAATGATAATGTCCAAAATGGACACTCATACCCACTGCTCATGGAATGAACACTAGTTCAACTTAACTCAAGGGCAATTGGCATGCACACGCGCATACACACACACTCTCTCTCTCTCTCTCTCTCTCTCTCTCTCTCTCTTCCAAACCAAGCCCCTTACTTTTGACTCAGTATTTCCACAGGCAGGTATGTCTCCTAAATAAGGTCATTTATTTAGGTAACTACATAAAGATGTATGTAGAAGTTAACCACTAGCGAGTCACTTAAGGGACACTTCAGACTATTAAAATGATGTAGCTCTACATTTATAAATGGATAAGCATTAACAATTGTAGTAGGGGCTGGACATGGTGGCTCACGCCTGTAATCCCAGCACTTTGGGAGGCCGAGGTGGGTGGATCACTTAAGGTCAGGAGTTTGAGACCAGCCTGACCAACATGGTGAAACACTGTCTACTAAAAATACAAAAAAATTAGCCAGGCATGGTGGTGGGTGCCTGTAATTCCAACTACTCCAGAGGATGAGGCAGGAGAATTGCTTGAACTCAGGAGGTGGAAGGTACAGTGAGCCGAGATCACATCACTGCACTCCAGCCTGTGTGACAGAGCAAGACTCAGTCTCAAAAACAAAAACAAAAAACAACAACAAAGAAAGCAATTATAGAAGGACTTTTTAAAACCTTTTGAAGAGGTTATAAGTAAATACTGTATGTTGTTATTTTTGTGGAAAAATATACATGTAGTGACATGGTGGGAATATCTGAAATAATGCATACTAATTATGTTGAAAATATTTATTTTGAGGTAATAATTTTAGTAATTTAATTTTAAAAAACATGTTTCTTTTATACCTGCTTTTTTCCCCCTGATCTTTCTCTTTAATACATTTTCTTTTTTCTTTTCCCATTTATTTATTTTATTGCATTTTAGGTTTTGGGGTACATGTGAAGAACATGCAAAATTGTTGCATAGGTACACACGTGGCAGTGTGATTTGCTGCCTTCTTACCCATCACCTACATCTGGCATCTCTCCCCTTGCTATCTCTCCCCAACTCCCCACTCCCCACCGTCCCTCCCCTATTTCCCCCCAACTGACCCCAGTGTGTAGTGCTCCCCTCCCTGTGTCCATGTGTTCTCATTGTTCAACACCCGCCTATGAGTGAGAACATGCAGTGTTTGATCTTCTGCTCTTCTGTCAGTTTGTGGAGAATGATGGTTTCCAGGTTCATCCATGTCCCTACAAAGGACACAAACTCATTATTTTTGATGGCTGCATAATATTCCATGGTGTATACGTGCCACATTTTCCCTGTCCAGTCTATCGTCGATGGGCATTTGGGTTGGTTCCAGGTCTTTGCTATTGTAAACAGTGCTGCAATGAACATTCGTGTGCACGTGTCCTTCTAGTAGAACGATTTGTAATCCTTTGGATATATACCCAGTAATGGGATTGCTGGGTCAAATGGAATTTCCATTTCTAGGTCCTTGAGGAATCGCCACGCTGTCTTCCACAATGGTTGAACTAATTTACACTCCCACCAGAGACAGGGTCTTGCTCTGTCCTCCAGGCTGGAGTGCAGTGGCACAGTCATAACTCACTGTAGCCTTAAATACTGGAGCTCAAGCGATCCTGCCGCCTCAGCCTTCTGAGTAGCTCAGACTACAGGTGCATGCCACTATGCCTAGCTAATTTATTTATTTTTGGTCTCACTTTCTTGCCCCAGCTGATCTCAAACTCCTGGCCTCCCAAAGTGTTGGGATTACAGATGCAAGCCACTGAACCTGGCTTGACATTTCTCTTAAGCTCAGCATCTGAACCCTGTCTGCTGCTGCTTTTGTTATTGCTGCCACTGGGCTGTCCTTGATCCTTATAAACACCATCCACTCTCTGAGGGCAAGGCTTGTGTCTTTTGCCTCCCTCTGCAGCCTTTGGAAGGCACTGGGTAACATGATGCTGACAAAATCATTGGTTTATGAATGAAAATTATATTGTTAGAACAAAACCTGGTTGCAGCAGGTACCTTTGAGAGTTCAGGTTCCCTAAGCCCTGAAGATGCAACAGGATATGACGAGGTGGCATGAGTTAAGTTGTCTTCGTGTTTCCAAAGGACTTCTACATTGTCAACAATTTAGCATTTTAGCAATGATCCTGAATTGCCAGAAGCTGTAGCAGATCACACGTAGAGAATGATACCTGTTATCCCCCCGTTTATTATCAGCAACCTGGTAAGTCCCCCTTGTGCTCCCTCTCAATCACTGCCACCCCAAGGAAAACCACTATCCTGACTTTTCTCTCCCAGTTCTATTAAGATATAATCAACAAATAAAAGTTGTATATTGGCCAGGCATGGTGGTTCATGCCTATTATCCCGGTACTTTGAGAGACCAAGGCGGGGAGGATTGCTCGAGCCCAAGAACCCGAGACCAGCATGGGCAACATAGTGAGACCTCATCTCTACCAAAAAAATTAAAATTAAAAAAAAATTCTTTTAAAGAAAAAGAAATTGTATATTGTTGGTGAGGATGTAGAGAGAAGGGGACCCTTGTATACTGTTGGTGGAAATGTAAGTTAGTACAGCCGTATGGAAAATACTATAGAGGTTTCTGAAAAAATTGGAAATAGAACTACGTTATCCAGAAATCCCACTCTGGGTATATATCCAAAGGAAATAAAATCAGCACCTCAAAGAGGCATCTGAGTACCTGTGTTTATTGCAGCATTATTCATAATACAAGGAATGATAGCTATTTTAAAGTTGTCTGTAGAAAGGTTTTTTCTTTGGTCAGGACTGTGGTCTTAAAATAAAGCATTAATATAGCTTTAGAACCACCTCTCAGCTTATCGCCTGAGTTAGGACGCTATTTCTAGATGAGCCACACCTAACTATTAATTTCATTCATTTTGTGACATTCCAGGTAGGATAGTTGGTTTTCATGTTAAGTTGGATTATTAAAATTGGGGTGTTTATTTACAAATCAATGGTTGAGGGAAGGAGA